CGCCGGCGTGGTCGTAGGGAACGCCCCACCGTCCGGTGAGCGCTCCACTGTATTTATTTGACGGCCTGACGTTTCGACTAATCGTCTTCTTCAGAGGCCTAAAAGTGTTTCGAGGTTAAGAGATGTGCACTACCCCGCCAAGCGCCTGAAGAGTTTCACTATGTCATCGGAATGCTGGGGTGGATTAGGCGCTTGGCGGGGTAGTGCACATCTCTTAACCTCGAAACACTTTTAGGCCTCTGAAGAAGACGATTAGTCGAAACGTCAGGCCGTTGAATAAATAGTTCCACCTAAAAACCTCGTGAGGCACAATATAACACTGAATTATTGAAAACTAACATGCCGAGGTTACAAGAAGAGAGAAGCTGGAGAAAAGCTGGATAATTGTTGAGTATCCAGTGTAAAAGGAGGTAAGCGCGGCGAAGCCGGGCCGTATCACGGAAGGAGGCACGCCGGCGTCAGCCGGCGAGCCGACTGGTAAATAAATAAAACACTCGTACGATAAGATACACCGATTCATTCAATGTGAACATCTCCTTTACAAAAAGGTAACGTCATCTTAGCGGGAACAACAACAGGAAGGTCGCAATTGGCCGCTGTATGGGGCGGGTAGTCATATTAAGCGAAAAGCATCCCCAACACCTGCAAGGGCCATGCTTTCAAATTTTCAGGCACAAAAAGAAGTTAAGGTAGTTTGCCCCAGACGGGCAGTGGTTACAAGGATGGCTTTTCAGTTTTGACTCACAAAATGACTAATAATTAATAATAGTAGTGGGTTTCTTGACCTTCCGTGACTGCTTTCATGCATATAATTCAGTTTCCTCTACCCATTATTTTCTACTTTCCGGTCACACACTTCACACCTTTTCCTATTTGCCGCTCCTCATCTGCTCCACTCCAAATTAAGCTTTTCTCGGAGCTTTACATTTTTGCTCTCCACTCTCAGCGTATATGCACCCTTGTTCGTTGCGGATGCTGGGGCGTTTGAGGGGAGATGGCACTCGCGTGGCGTCATCCAAATCTCCACCAGCTGTAGAAGCTGGCAGGCAACAACAATCGGTGGAAATAGGTTGGCGCCGCGCTAGACCTGGTCCCCTAGAACGCCCAGCATCCGCACCTTTCAGGAACCATACTAGGGCAAATTCAGCTCCAGCATCTCAGAGAAAAGGAAATCAATAAAGATGGTAATTTATAAGCTAGGACGTGATTATAACTCAACATTCAAAAGAATGGAATACAGCATGCAATGACACTAACGATGAGATTTCTAAGAAAACCTAAGGTCCAGCGCTTTTCTTTACTACAGTGGGACCTTTTAACTTGGTCAATTTTGCCAGAACAGCTCTTTCGGCTTCGTCGGCATCTATTCGCTTCTCAGAAGAGTCCACGACAAGCCCTCGGAGTCGCGTCAACGATTTCGCATGCCCAGCCAAAGCTTTCTCAAGTAGCTTCTCGTTCTTCGTCAGAATCGCTTCCACCATTTCGTCTATGAGAGTCTCGTCTGTTATTCGCCAGAGGTTCTTTTCGTTGAAAAGCTGAGAACAATAATCTTTCAATAATCGTTATTTCTTCAGAAGCTGCTACGGCTGCACCTGCTCTGCATCCTGCAGGTTGCTGAGAAATCCTCTCAAAGTCGCGAGAGCTCGTTGTTTCGTGATCCTTCCTCCCACGTAGAACTCAACAACCGTCATGAACTGGTTCGCAAATTCAGGACTGAAAACTTGGAATTTAACTAAAAAAACGCTGAGCACAGCGCTTTGGAAGGCCTCGATAAATACGTTTCTTAGACAATTCGGGTTTTTGGGACTTGGGAAAGCTAAAAAAATTGAAGAGTCCAAGATCCTCACTGTTTGGTACCGCGGTTCGGTGTCGAGGAAACATTCCAATTGCTCGATGCTTTGTTAGACCATATAGGGTGAAAACATTTTTAGAGCTTCATTTTGGTGAAATCTGTAAACTCCTGTGAAGTGGCGAAATGGTGCAAGTGAGCTTTTCTGCCACAGGAATTCAAGAGGTTTTCATAATATGGCCAGTAAAAGCCTAGGCGAGGTACCCCCTTCAAGCCGAATTGCATCCGTCCTTCCAATGCTTTGAGCCTTTGGATGGAATGAATCCTTGAACTCTCAATTCGTTGTGAAAGAATTGTACTGAATTTTCAGAAATAGGACGGAGCAGAGGAAACAGCTGCACATAGTGCTGCTCCAGCACCCATAATCTCCAGACTGAATCTCGCCTAGGGCAACCAGCCATGCATGCCTTCGGGCATAGTCAATCGGTGCCAGCCATATTTGGGAAGGTGGGCAAATCTCTGGCTCGTAAAGTAGCTGGTCCAAGGTGTCGTTCTGAGATATCTTCCTTGTACGAATTCTAGAGGCGAATGCTGTTTGTAAATGGGGTGGCATTCGCACGGAGGAAGTCTTAGCTAGGCTATGTAGCTAGATTTCTTTCTTACTGAGCATTTTAGTTCATTGCAACCGTGTCCATAACCCTTCGGTTACTCAACTACCTAAACTATATATGCTATTGAAAGTTTAACTCACTCTTCCGGAGGATACACTGCTTTGCTCCGTTGCATCATCATTTTCAGCTCCTTCATCCATGCAATGAATTCCTCCGTCCCGATGTTCTTCACACGGTCAGCACAAAAATCCACAAAACGTGAAAGTGTGGGATTTTCCTGCGATCAAATGTAATAAATTCAATGAGAACTCGTCAAATGCCCCCACAAAGCCAAACTGCGCCATACTGCCTCTACTCGTGATTCATGAAACCACAAGCAACTTACAGCGTAATGAACGGCACGCCTAGGGTTGAAACCAAGTTGTTGGTACTTCACGTAACTTGGCTCAGATGACACTGACGCTGCACATTCAGTTACCCACTCCGGGCGAATCTGGATACGAAAGTCACAGTAATCACAGGTGCAAACAATGGAAAACACGTGGAGTATTGTCCACGTGACTTTATTTGAACCAAACTTACCTTGAGAAAGGGTAGATTCGGTTCAGGAATGAAGCGGTAGTCCGTGATTTCTTCTTTATCTCGCATGGAAAGAGTGCGCCTGGAAGAGTATACTGTCCGGACACATTCGTTAGTTCACCTCATACGCATAAAAATAATGTAGCATTATTTACATTGAAGAATCCTCGTCCTGTAAACACGGCACGGTTCAAGGGACCTTGGCTGTGACGACCTACAGAAACCTATTTATGCGTCACCGCTGCGGGGTATGTGACAAGACAATTGAAAAACGCCGCGCCAGTTAGTGTTGCGAGCGACGTCGCGCCTGATGGACAAGTTGTACTGCTGGCCGGTTGACTTTAAGTGTTGAAAACGGGAACGAAAGTGTACTGCTTATCATGAAGTCTTGTCGCCTTGTCATCTTGATGTATGATCTTTGCTGCACCAGTCGACAAACAAGGCACATTGAGGATTTGCCGCGCATCGCCGCACGGTACGTCGCGCAAGACGAATTACGATTTTCTTGCTCGTCTCCCGCTTCGGAAAGGGAACCAACTGCTCTGAGTGGAAAAAAATAGGACTGCACTTACATTAGTTCCGATTTTGAACAAAGAGTCCTTTAAACCGCCAGACCTCTCGAGGGCGCGCCATCGTTGTGATAATCACAACGGGAGGGTCGTATTTGACCGCGAGGGTATTGCGTCGAAGAGGTGAGCTTTTCGTCTTCGTGTCGTCCGAAAATGTCGCAACGACTTTTCGAATGGCAGCCTATGGAAAAAGCGAGGTATATTTCAGGGAAACGAATCTTTTAGGTTCCGGCATTGTTCTTCGTTTTTACGAAGGGTAGATGAAGAAAGAAAATATGAAGAAATAGCTATTTAAAGCATAAAAACTCGCAGGTGACTCTAAAATGTCACAACGGGGAAAGTTCCTCAAAGAGGATGTCTTCTGAAATCGTTAACTCTTTTAATAAGTGCAATCTAGTGCTTCACAGCCCTGCTTTCCCCTCTTTAGAACTTCATTCTCGAAGAAGTTGCGGGTGTTCAAGTAAAATTACCGCCGGAGTGCTTGGCTTGAAACTAAATTCGTAGCGCGAAATAGGTTGCTCTATTATTAGGTTGTCCGGAAAGTTCTGCAGGTTTTGTGTTACTATTTTTTGCACATTCATTGCTGATTAAAAACTCATTCTCCCTTGCGTCTCAGTAGTACATCCTGAAGAGAATTCTTTGCGCTATCTGATGGTATAACTGCCGTTTCACCATTGCTTGATGAACCCCCTTTTTTAAGATTTTTTCAAGCATGTGAAAAGAGCACTTCGGACGATTTTTTCTTCGACTATAAATTGGGGCAATCCGCAATCGAAACAGCTCAACAAATTAACCAGGTGTGGGGGCCCAATAGTGCTAGAGAAAGCACTGTGCGGCAATGGTTCAACAAATTTCGTTCTGGAGATTTCAACCTTGAAGATGAACCTCAGCGGTCGACCCTAGCGGTCGACCTAAAGCAATATCTGACGAGGATTTTAAGGGGATTTTGAAGGCTGACCCATCCCAAACAGTTCGAGATTGCAGAAAAGCTAGGCGTTGGCAAATCCACTGTTGCAGATGGTCTGGAACGCATTGGGAAGGTGAAAAAACTCGACAATTGGGTGCCCCACAATCGGAGTGACCGGCAGGAATCGGCACGTCTCGAGGTTCCTTCTGCATTGCTTTTGCGCAGCAGAAACGACCCCTTTTTGAATTGTCACCTGTGATGAAAAATGGGTCATGTATGATAACAGGAGACGTTCCGGACAGTGGTTGGATTTCGACGAACCACCGAGGTAATTTTCAAAGCCGAACCCTCACGAAAAAAGATTCTGGTCACGGCTTGGTGGTCATCGGCTGGTGTGATCCACTATAACTTTTTATCACCAGGCCAAACCATCACAGCAGAACCCTACTGTGAAGAAATCGACGAAATGTACCGAAAATTTTGTCAGCTGCAGCCAACACTTATCAAAAGAAAGGGTCCGATTCTTTTGCATGACAACGCCCGCCCACACGTTTCACAAATCACTATCCATAAATTGAACGAATTGGGGTTGAAGTTCTACCTCACCCACCATATTCTCTAGACCTTTCACCAACCGACTGTCACCTTTTCAGACATTTTCAGAACTTTCCTGCTGAGAAATACTTCATCAAACAGGACCAGGCAAAAAAGACCTTCGCAGATTTCGTGGATTCTCGACCACCCAGTTTTTTTTGATGGGATTTCTCGACTGCTGTCACATTGGCAAAAGTGTGCTGATTCGAATGGTGCTTATTTGGATTAAATCCGATGAGTGTTAAGAAAGTTATGATCGTTTAAAGTTAAACACTCAAAACCTGCAGAACTTTCCGGACAACCTAATAGCACGGCCCGACGTGTGCTCTAGCTGCAACTTTGGATGGCCGCAAACAATTGATATTCAAGTGTGGCACGGTGGGGATGGTTTCGAAACCCTTCTTTGGTGGGGGAGGGGGGGGTCATATTTAGCCAAAATTCATCGCAAGGCGATGGCGTGCCCTGCCCTCTCCTCCCCTCCTCAGCGCCCAAAAACGAAAACATTTTTTACCGTGCAGTGGCCCGCACTATATAATGCTCACCCGTGTTCATCGCATGTCCTTGTCTCGTTGACCACTCTATTTCCACTCGATATCACTTCATATTGCCGATTAATCTCAAAATTGATGGCAGTATGTAAATGCCGCAAGCTGTTGATATTCTTCACCTTAATACGATTCTTGAAACATTTGCAGGAATTTGTAGAAATATATGAAAGCTCCAAAAATTATAAATAATTAGATAAATAAATAAGTAAATAAACAAGAGGATAAATAAACCACAGTTTCATAAATAACGAATAAACATTAGATCGAACAAAGGCTTGTAAACGTAAAGGATAAACCTGAGAGCCTTCTGCAATGTTGTTTCTAGAATTTTGTAGTTGTTATTTTTATGTGATTCTTTCTACTGTTGTTTTTTCTTTGTTTGCTATTTACATCAAGCATTTATTAAGCGGAGCTCTGTGAGAACAACTGAAAGCAGAAGCAGAACCACTGACTCTATGGCCACGTTCATACTTCGCGACTAGAACGATTCAAACGTGCACCACGAGCGACCGCGCTCCACTGCTTTACATTGGACTGTTACAAACGATTAATGCAACAGTCCAACGATTATGCGGTCGATCGCAGTCGTGTGATTTCTAAACCGCGCGACTACCCTGAGTCGCGAAGTATGAACGCGACCTATCTTACTTACTAGCAGTATAAAAATCCAGTGCTATTGGTGAAATAAGAAGGCAGCGAAGAAAGCAAGGATATATTTGACCAAAAGTTTACTTTGAAATATCCAGAATAGATTACCTCAGTTCTAACTCCTTTATTCCCTCCATGTGACAGGGATACATTCGCATCAACACGCAGATGGCCTTCTGAATAAAGATTCCTTTATTCAAGTGGATTTATAAGCCCCAGATGCTGTTTACTGGGAAACTTTTGGATGCGCATTCACACTTCCAGATTTAGTTGAGGCGTTTTCAGGACACAAGATGGGGAAAAAATTGCTTCCAAGACTGCAGATGAAGAGATTTGAGCAAAAGGAATAACTCAGGTTTCCAAAGGTTCGTTCATCAAAAACTCAAAATTTCTCTCTTAACTTGGCCTACGAGACAAAGACATAGGCGTAGAACGCGCAGTCTCTACATTTCAAGCTGACAGCTATCTGCCTTGAAGACTCAGCCTAAGACTTGCATTTGCTGGTTCCCACCGATCACTGCCGATGTCTCATGTGTAGGCCCGTAAAACCCTGTAAAGGCGTGCAATACAAGGAGCTTCGTTCGCATTTGACCACAGTCTACAGGTCTCACCAAGGTATGACGTGTAATTTACCAGCGACTAGCAAAAGAAAGTAGTGAAAGCGCCGAATGTCCCTCCCAAGCGTCCAGCTGAGCTTTTTTTATCCATAGGCGAGGTTTGCAGGTCCGGAGCTGTAGGAGGGTACCGCTCACCACACAGAAATCTGTGGCAGTGAAGCTGTAGGGTTCTGGCAGTAGGATGTTCTTTTAATTTTTACGCTCGCCATAAGCGCTGTGAGTATGTTGCCAACACGTTCCGCGATAGCTGGGCGGCGCGAGTAAGATCCGACCAAAGTGTAGGCATACTGCTCAGGGCAGGGAAAAACACTGGACTGCAACAGCGTCCCGATTAAGAGTGAGAGAGCGCAGACCAGTAGTGTGTCAGGCTATGGCTAGACGCATAGCCGGCTTTGTGGCGTGTTGCGCGTTTGTCGCGCACTCTGCTCGCAAGTGGAGATGTAAAATATCCGGCTAACGCATCTCTCCAGCTTCACTGACACCCTTCCAAGAGGGCACAAGTGCCACCCTTCTGCAGCTGCGGGCCTGCCCACCTCCATGGATGGATTGACTTTACAACTGAGCGTACAGTACGCATATAAAGAAATTTGATTACTAACGTACTATGCATTTCTCCTCGACATATACCATGATGCATGAGAAGTAAACGAAGCTGCTGCACAAAAC